TCAAATTCTTTTTATAGTCAAGAAATTTAAAAGAATTAATGACGTCAACCATTCTACAGAAATCCGTAAAGCGCTCATAGCCTCATTGTAATCCTGCATGAGGGGTGTAAGTGGGACACGACGGAACGGTGTTTGGAGATGTACTCGGAGAGGGTAGGCCAAATCTCCATAAATGCACATAGCTTGAGCTGCTGGATTATAGGCATACTGTTGAAGGTCCCGCAGTAGTCCAGAATCGTTTAACATCCCTGCGTCGTGTTTACGCCCCTCTAGAAACGAAATTAAAATCAAACATGAGAAAAGAATTTTTTTGGGGGGAGGGGGTTGTTTAAGTTTAAAACACTAACGTTTTAATACAAACTCACCAACTGGTCCAAATAGGTTGCCAATAAGTCCATTTGGTAGGGACAACGATTGGAATTTTAACGCGTGTACCCTCTTGTGGCCATTGTACACAATTCTCTGACGCTCATTTGGTCTTGAAATGGGTCGGACTGTTCCATCTACAAAACCGAAACAGTTGTCAAGGGGGCCTCCTTTTCCTGATATAGCTTCTGAATAACGCTGCAAAGCCCCAGGATTCAGAAGATCTTGATTCCATTGTGTTATACGGTGCCCATGAACGTCATAAATATAGTCGATGACATCATTTGAGATCAGGCTTATAACAGAAACCGGTCGGCCAAATCGCGGAATCAGATCACTTAGTCTGCATGGGTAGGCAACTCGTTTGAGGAGTATGCATAGTCCTTCCATTTCGTCGCAAATACTCCTCTGCTCGCATTTAAACACCGGTGGTAGTTGGAGGGCTGCAACAAGGCGAGGGAAACTCTGCTTTGCACTCCGCGGAGTTCATAGAATCCAAATCAAACCGTTGATAGTTTTCATGGGGATAATCTGGATTCTTTGAGATGAAACTATCGTAAAGTAGCAAAAACTCTTCATCGGAAATAATTTCATCGCCGTAGAGAAGTACGAGGAGGTCACGAAATTCTTTGAAAGACATTTTCCCTGGTGACTTTCACTGTAAGAAGAGACTCGTCCACGTACCGTAACCGGTTTGCTAAATGTTTTTGTTTCCCGCCGAAATACCGCCGTGGACGACGTTCTCGTTCCAGGCCCCAATCGGTCATACCAGTCCTCGTCCTCGTTCTCGTCTTCATTGCTAAACGTCGCTATTAGCGAAGCTCTCGGCCCAGCGGAGCACCATGGGTAAGAAAAAAAGAAAGAAAAACTAAGGGAGATAACAGAGAAAAAGCTAAAGTGAGAGATAAAAAACAACGGCGATGTATTTCGTTACAAGAACAACATGAAAAGTTTATAGCGGCGGTGAGGAAGTCAAAATGAGAAATGATAGCGACATGCAGGGTAAATATAAGCGGCAGTGAAGACAAAAGACAACGGGAACACAACCAATAAAATCTTTTCTGAGCACATACGACATTTCATCCACAAAACATGTATTAACTAGGAAGTTTGTCAAGTTTCGCGCTGTAGTCGTGCAACTAAACAACGACAAAGAAATGTACAAAAAAGAATGATGCACGTGCAAAGTTTTTTTTTTTTGCTAATTAGACCTTTTGATTTCTGATAAATACAGTTCTACATGCGGTGTGCCTTCATTTGTTTCAACCCGATAACATTTTCCTTGCTTGACATTTTTATTCTAGAATTGCTCAGCTTCCTTGAATGTTTGTAATAGAACCAACATTAAGCACAGATTTGAAAGATTTCTTTGCAGTGGTTTCAAGTTTGTTTTTTGTTTAAGTGTATAATCGAGAACTTCGCTGTTAGCTAAATCGATATATTAACTTCGCCTATGAATCTCAACAGCAACAAATTGTTAAATCAACAGCAATATAGAATATAATTACCTTTTGTTATATTCCTAGACTTTCACTCAACTGAACAGTGACAGCCATTGGCAGATTCTTGGTCACGTGACCTTGACTAAAATCAAATGTATCCCGATCGTGATACATCAAGCAATGTACCCCGCTCGGGATACATTACAGTACGTGATCAAAGCATGGTGGAAAGTGGCGTGACAGAAGGCGGGAAAAACACAGATAATACAAGGAAAGTACTTTTTAAATCATTCATTCAGTAGTTTTGAGAATTAAATTTGTGTTCTTATAAGTACTGAGTCGTACTGTTTTGATTCGCTCCTCTTAAGCGTATTCTTTTGTTGCTGTTGAACTACGTTGGAGTGAAAGTCTAGAAATATAACAAAACACTTAATGTCAGGTCCCTCGGAAAACCAGTTAGTTTTGTTTTCCCTCGAGTCCTGATGTTTCTCTTGGGAAAACAAAACTAACTGTTTCCCTCGGGATCTGACATTAAGTGTATAATATGCCATACCTTTTCCCGTTTAAAACTGGCAGAAAACATAAAAGTGGCTCATCACACAACCCCCTTGCATGACGAGCCAAAAGGATCTCTGCATGCATGGGAGGCTTTTAGCCCTGAGCAGACCTTAAATGACAAAGGGATGCGACGGGTGGGTATGCTTAGAACTGACTAGACAAGAATGTTTTTAAACTCTACTGTTTTTGCTGAATGATTTTGTATGTAAAGGGAACGCCGCTTTTAGGCTTGACTAAATCTATATTTTATATTTCAAAGAAGACAAGGGGTACCAAATATCTTTACTTTTTTCTCGTCTTTAGGTTTATCCTGTCACCCGTGGGCTTACATAAGAAAAAATGTACAAGAAACTGTGCAACGCAATCAACTTGGTGAAAGTCAAAGTTTGTTAAAATCCGCTTTAAAAATAGTTGAGAAAGCCAGAGGTTTCGAGGGTGCTCCCTCTTCTTCAGTGGTTTAAAAACTTTTTAAAACACTGGAGATGAGGGAGCACCCTCGAAATGTCTGGTTTTCTCGACCATTTTCAGCGTGTGTTTTAGCAAAACTTTGACGTGCTAAGACATACCTTTTTGCCATTGCTATGCACTTTTCCCTTTGTTTTTAGACTGAAAGCCGTGACAAACTTTCTGAGTGAGAGTCCTCCTCGGAAGACTGTCAACGAGGTGGTAAGTATCCTGGTGGTTAGTACAAACTTCGGTAGATCCTAGCACTAGGATCTTCCTAGCGAAAGTAGTTTACATGGTGTACCAGGAAGATCCAGCACTAGGGACAAGGCCAACCCTTCGCATGTAAACTGAATACAGAACGCATATAGCACTAGGGTGATCTGGCCTTTTGGGTCTTCCTGGTGCTAGGGTTTTTCCCCCCCCCCCCCCCCCCCCCCAATGTAAACATCCCCTAAGTAATAACTTCAGCTCATAATTGACCAAAAACCCCGGCCTAAAACACCAATGTCATCGTGGCATAGCCCTTTTAACAACAAACTAGCTTTATGTCAATCAATCCAAGTTTACCTCTAATTGCGTTTACTAGATAACATTCGTAACCGTTATGAATGTTGGAAATGATCGCCTACGTCATTACCACGACTTAAAATTTCATGCACCCTTTTTAGTAATAAGTGGCTAACAAAGGAGCAAAAAATGAGTAAGACCGTCAATAAACATATAGTTCAATAAATTGTTTAACGTACAAACCCTTTTTTCTAATTTTCTTTAAGATTGTTGAAAAACGAAAAAAGACCACAACTGTTACTTCCAGCGAAGGGGTAAGTTTATTTATTTCTCTGCAGGATTTGAAAGCAATGTTATGTAAATGATTAAAATCACTTACAGATTTAGGGTGATCTGAGAGTACCACCCACCTTTTTTGAGGGACGCAGCCCCCTCTCCAATTTCCTGGATTCGGTCGTGGCATTTTGTGCATGTAATAAATTCTTCCAAATATGGAAGAATTGATGTCTTGAGCTTGTAGAATTACCAATATACATCACGAAATGTTCTGAAGGGACTTTTTCTCTTGTATTTCCATAAAATATGCATGCATATACACTTAAAAATAAGGTTTTGTGTTGGCCCGGTTTGCCGCGCTTGCTCGCTTTGCAGAGGTGACTGCTCGTATCAGGAGCAAACTAGCTCGGAGCCGTTATGTTTACAGAGAGACTGGCAACCATGTGCGTCAGCAGAGTGTTACCCGGCTTTCCTGTCACTTGCTTTGCTCGCCAGGCTTTCCTGGCCAGCGTGATTACATGCAAAATATTTTGCCCGGTTAGCAGGCAGGTCTCGGTTGTCATGTAATCACAAGGACTTGAGGTTTTTTTTCTTCATTACCAGAAATCGGCGACATTTGCGCCCGCCAATTATTTGGCACGCGGTTTCAAATTATCAAGATGGCGGCATATATCGCTCATGTAATCAACCTCATAGATCGGAGGAAACCTTTAGATTAACCCTATGTGGACTAAGTTAGCAAAAAGAGGTCTATTCTAGTGAAAATGCACCATGAAGATCAAGAACGTCAATAGCCATACATTAAAAATAGCAATTTCGTCAAGCAGATCGGGGTTACTTTGCCAACAGTGGACTATGCGGGGATGCTTAGCTCCAAAGGGATACATTTACACGCAACAACATTGGTTTTGTTTTTAGTATCAATGTGGAAGGGGTACTATTTTCTATGAAAGCTGTAAGGAAGGAGTACTTTTTTATACCCTGTAAGGGTTTTCGGATCCTGGGGTGGACCATGCCTTCGGAAAAAAACTTGTTCAACAACCTTATCCCCCCAGTATACTTCGTTGCTTCCTGGTACTGACATTTCTGTGTTACCTTGGAAGTTAGTTGTTGTTGGAGCTTGATTTTGCAACGCCAAGCGCGGCGTTATGGCGTTTCATGTTTGACCAAGTTAACTTTTTCCCGCTGAGACAGGATACTGTCCTTAACGTCTCCGACGAAGAAGAGCATTTTATCCGAGTGAACACCGATGGCAAGACAGCAAAATTTAAGCTGACCAAAAAAGATTGGGAACTAATGGAAATCAAAGAGTACCCAAGCGGGGGTCGTCTGTTGGGTGGTGCCTGGACCACTATATTTAGGCGAGGAGTAAAGCAGAGCAATGAGTGGTGCCACTTACGCCTCACAAATAATCAAGTGCGAGCGGAGAACTCTCGCAGAATGCATTCCTCGCCGTTCTTCAGAGGAGCTGGGGAGTGCAAGTTTCCAGAGTGCAACGCGAAGGTAAAGTTTGTCATCCATAAAGAAATAGGAAAATACGTTCACGTGACGTATGTGGGAAATGTTTACCACAAATTCCGTGGGTCGCCTATGGCAAAGAAATGAATTCACACATGGTGAAAAAAGCACCAAAAAAACTACTGGAACGAGCTAGTTGTTTAGGCCTTCTAGAAATCAATGAGTTAGTGGAATGTTGATCAAGAGAGTATCTGCCGCGTGGCCGTCAAAGTGTAACAAAACCAAAACATCTTTCTTATTATTTTTGAACGATGATTTTAAGGTTTTATGGAAAGAGTACATAAGTCATGTTAAAAAACATGAAACTATCCTTCAAAATTTTTGGCTTTCTCAGAAGTCTAACTGTTCTATCTGATTTTAGCGACAACTATGATAGAAGAATCATCATGTTAAGTACGCTGACGACCACATTAATTTGTTTAACAGATTTTCACAAGTAAGATCTAGCTAGGTAGCAAGTTGCATGATGGTGTAACTTTTAAGTCAGTGGGATGAAACGTTTTTCTGATAAAAAGAACTGATAGAAACCTTTTTGAGGTGCAAGACACTGGATGGAATGTCCTTCTCGGGAAATTTCTCAGTGTCACATAAACATCTATGCTCTCTTTAGCCTGAGACGACACACGAATCTTACTGCTCTTGCCCGTAAAGTATTTGATGCCATGATCTCCCCTATTCTAACATGTACATGTAATAGTGAAATTTGGGGTGTGTATGCCGAACCAGATTTTAAGTCCGGGGACGGCTCACAAATTGGAAAGACACACCTTCAATTTTGCAAATGTTACTAAGAAGTAAACAACAAGGCTTCTTACATAGCTTGTAGAGCTGAACTTGGTCGTTTTCCTTTAAATATCACTATCGATCAAGAAATCCTCAACTACATTTTGTATATTCAGTCTAAAGATGAAGAATCTTTTGTCAAGCAATGATCTTTTTCAATGTCATTTTTCACTGCAATGGTAAAAATAGCTTTCACTCCTCATTTGTAGAAGAGGTCAGAATATTTTACCAACCTTACTTTAACCCTGGTTTATTAGATACCGCGATAGTAAAAAAAAAAATTGTAGTTTTAATAAAACAGCAACGTTCTCAAAAACTAGAATTTTATAGATTTTTTAAAACGATCATACCACTTCTAAGGGTCTCCTAATTACTAAACTTAACAAGAGGAACAGCTGAGAGAAAGGCTTTAGTAAAATTACGAATAAGCCGCAATACCAAACTAATGCTAGAACTTGGTAGATACAATCCAACTACTACAAATAACAGGCATTGCCCTCTTTGTGGATCCAGTTAACTAAAAGACGAAGTTCACTTTCTTTTTCATTGTTCTATATATTCTATGATTACGAATACTGAATTTTTACAAGAAAGTCAAGTCTCTGATAAACGTTATGATCAATGTACTGATTAACTCCTCTTTATTCACATACAATGCATTAAATATATTTCAGCTTGCTTTGATTTTTGTGACAAATGATTAAGAAAGTAACTTAATTTTCCTGTTATAAAATCTTAGTTCTTCTTCTTAAAATAGCTTTTCTAATATTATTTCTACTTGTATGGTCATGAATATAAAGCTTGTTGTTCTGATGTTGATGTTGGATACCTCTGGAAGCGCTCGTCCTGTCGTAAAACGATAAAATTATCGAAAATTACTTCCCAAGATCGAGGCCTATATTCCAAGGAGGGGGTGAGTCCCTTGAGGAGGGGTTTGGGAATGCTAGTCGGAAAATTGGAATTAAACCCCTCAAGGAAATCTGGACGTGACTCGTGATTTATCTAACACCTGCTAAAAGATCCCATTCTAAAAAGACCGTCAAATATGAGCTATGGTTATTTCGAGTTAAGATAAGGACGTTGTATTTGGATGTCATTATTCCTTTTTTTTATTATTATTATTTTCTTCCTTTACGCACAATCCTGAACTCTCTACATAAGACAAACATCTGCAATTTTATACCCCTAACGTAGGCGGTGAGTATCCCCACCACTTTTAAATGGATATCCCCGGTCCTCGTGTTTCTTTTTATCACATTTTCTTGTGCTTGGATGATGATGATATGGAAACATTCCTCCTAAAGGATAATTTTTTTGGATTTGAATTGTTTTTTGTTTTTGTTGTTGTTGTTGTTTTTTTTAATCTTTTTTCAACTAGATGTGATTTTTTATGCTCCTGAATAAGTAGTATGTAGCTAGCGTATTGACAATTGGTCATGCAGTTCATCATTAATTTGTAGCCATATGGTGAAAACGTTGAAGCTTCTCTCAATTCTGCTGTTTTAACAAGCCATTATTATCATTATCATAATTATGGTCTTAATTTATTCAGATTGAAAATCGAATAGATGGTAGTCTTTGCCGGGTTTGCTATGTAATAGAGCGGTCACTAAGTTAGCGTGGGAGTGTTTTGTTACCTACCTTGCAAAGACAACGAGCAGATAGAGATCTGGCACGAGTTGTTCGAAAGTCGAGTAGATCAAATCCATGGTATAGAAACTCATATGCTATACAATACAGTACATTTTATTAATTCTCTCAATAGGGTTTTTAGGGAATCAATTTCCATGTACAAGAAAAATAGAAAAAATATCAAGATGTGTAGAAAACTAATGATGTAATAGTGTTTGCAATTTTACAAAATGATATTATAAAACAAAGCGCTGTATGGACTATCAAAACTAAGCGCAACTGATTTCAACTCTAGCTTTCTTCTTAAACCATTGAATAGATTTAGAGCTTCTTGTATGACCAGTAATGCTATTCCATGATGCTACTGCCCTGTCGAAAAACGAGCGCTGAGCAATTTCTGTGCGACATTTGGGAAGGCTAAGTTGATCAGGATTTCTAGTGTTGTACTCGTACGTTTTTGAGCGCTCTGTATGATTTGAACTTAAACAGCGAGGCGTCAGACCATTCAGACATTNAGATTTAGAGCTTCTTGTATGACCAGTAATGCTATTCCATGATGCTACTGCCCTGTCGAAAAACGAGCGCTGAGCAATTTCTGTGCGACATTTGGGAAGGCTAAGTTGATCAGGATTTCTAGTGTTGTACTCGTACGTTTTTGAGCGCTCTGTATGATTTGAACTTAAACAGCGAGGCGTCAGACCATTCAGACATTTATAATAAATCATGGTAGTGTCGCGCAAGCGCAGCGGTTCTTTTACAGTAAACCAGCCCAGTTCGTGCAGTATTTGGGAAATATGATCGTACTTTCTGGTGTCGGTTAATATACGCGCGCAAAATTTTGTATCAGTTGTAACTTCTTAATACTTTGTTTGAATGTACCGGACCATACGGTTGAACAGTAAAATAATTTACTAAATATAAGATAGTTTAGGATTATGTTTAGAACATCTTTGGTAAACAGATGTCTAACCCTACTTATCTGACACAAACTAGAAAGTACAGAGGACGGTAAGGTCGAAATGTGCTCAGTGACAGTCACGTTTGAGTCTAGAATAATACCTAGATCTTTGGCTGATTTGCGCAACACCATCCCGCAACAAGTTCGAGATCCTGGGAAATCTGATGCAAACATGAGTGGATATCCTGTGCAGAACTTGACAGATATATTTTCGGGTCATTCACGTACGATTCAATATTACTAAATTTGGTTACTCCAGGAAGATCGTTCATATATAAGCTAAAAAACATCGGTCCCAGGATAGAGCCTTGAGGTACCCTACGAATTACCGTAAGGGGCTCCGACAAAGAAGTTCCCACTCGGATGCATTGTTCTCTATTCGTGAGATAACTATGGAACCTTTGTAAAGCTTTGTTCAAGGTGCAAAGTTGGTATAGTTTGCAAGTAAGGTCTAATGACATAGACTATCGATGGCCTTACTTAAGTCAATCAGTACCATAGCTTTGATTATTTGCTTGTTGCCCATGGCCCTGAAAATAAGGTCGGTCACAACCAGGCTCAAGGCTTCAGTTGAGTGCAGCTTACGATTTCCACTCTGATGGCTAGTGAGGCGATTTTTCTGTACCAAGTGGTTGTTCAATTGACACATAGCAATTCTGTCCTGTACTTTGGAAAGAATTGGTAGTAGGTGTAAGTTAACTAAGGACTAACGTTAACCGGGCTTCAAGCAACTCTGACCTGGCTTGAATTCGCTATCTCGCCCGAATAACAAGTTCCAATCTAATTCGATCATCTCCAAGGGGCCGTTCATTATTTATGGGAGGGGGAAAGGGAGATAAAATGAGGGGATCTGAAAATTTAGCTAGTACAAAAAGGGGAATTTCCGAGGGTAATTTTTTGCCTCTGATCATGGAATGACTGTCATGAAATTTTATACAGATAATTTCTTTAAAAAAATATAAACATAACTACATTAAACGTTTCATAGAGGGGACCACAGATTTCGTAGCAAGAAGCCTTTTGGGTCTTCATATGTCTTCACAGTATTTTGGAACAGTCATGGAGTATATATAACTTATGGTGTAATTTTCATTTCTTTGTTTAAGCATATTTTAATATGTTTAAAAACTGGATTGCAACAAAGTTAGTAGCTATAGTTCTTAGTTTTGCCATGCGTTTTATACATGTCCTGGCCCCCAGCTGGCCCATGATATTCGGAGAAACCCTAATACCTACAATAATATGTCACTGATTGATTGATTGATTGATTGATTGATTGATTGATTGATTGCACTGGTGGAGAGAAAACCACACAAGAGTCACATTCCAAACATAAACGCCATAACTTGAGATATCTATTACAATAAAAGGTCTTCATATTAGCCCCTAGTTGATATTCCATGATGGAAATTTAAGAAAGTCATTCTAAGATTTTTTTTCCATTTCCTGTTCAATAGTTTATTTCTCCACCACCACATCATCATCAACATCATCATCACCATAATCATCGCCGTCATCATCATAGCATAAGCAGGAGATTCTTCTCCAACACGCTAACTACTACATCATTGCCCCCTAACGAAAATACTGTATGGATATGTTGTGGTTAAATTATATCCTTAGTTTGAATTTTACTTGCCCCTGTTTCAAAGTTATTATCACACATTTCCATTCCCGAAAACAACGGCATATAAATCGTACCACAACAAAGCCACAACAGATACGTACAATACAACTATATTTGGGACAGGGGTATTTTAAAAGTGTTTAATGGGACTACAGTACGCTTGATTACAACTCATGTTTCAATAAACGAAAGAATATTAATATTAGCTTTCCATTCCTATTTAAGATTTAGCCAAAACAAAGTTAAACTTCATTGAAAGGAAAACTTAATAAGCGCTCCCCTCGATTAAGCGGCCTCCTTTCAATAAGCCCCCATCCTTTAAGCGGTAACTTTAATTAGGCACCCGGGTGCTTAATGAGGAAATAAGGTTTTAAGAAAATAAAACACCATGATTGTGTATTAAGGACATCATTCTCGCGAGTTGCCTGCCTGTTTAAAGGGCTATGTAACGGCTGTATAGTTCATTTTTTCAATATTGCCAATTACGAGGGTCCCCAATAGGTTTTTCGGGATCCGGGATTTCCCTTATTTGAAGCTCGGAATTCGGGATATTGAAGCAAAATCGGGGCGAGATTCGGGATTGAAGGTATGCGCGCGAGTTATAATGCCCGAAATAACCCTCAGGATTACGGGATCGGACGAAATCTTGGGTCGGGATTACGGGATTGAGGAACCCTATTGGGGACCCTAAATTACGTGCCCTTATACGCTATGGAACTCAAGAAACTACTTTGGCGTCTTGTGAATAACAAAATCACAGCTTCTTGTCAAAATCGAAAACGAAGTTTGGAAAAATGTTTATGCTAATAAGTTTCCAAAAGCTGCAATTCCAATCCTTTTTATCTTTTCAAAGATTGTCCATCCGTGTCTTCTTCTGCATTTTATATGCAATCAATATCCTCTTCTTTTGTTTTGAGAAGTTGTTTTCATTTATACTTCAAACTGGCGGCAGTTCCCAATGCTTGAATTTTAATAAACTTCATAACGCAGCTGCTTTAGCACACATAGGCCCCTTTTGGGGATTTAATCTCCAACGAGTATTCCCGTACCCTACATACGGAAGTCACTTCCCCCCTGGAGCTAGGGTTAGCTCGCAAACAGGATATTATTATGAAACAAACGCCAATTTGACAGAACCCAGACGGAGTTTGATAAACAATCTTGAAATATGCGATTTTGCTGAGTCTCGTTCCCTTGCACGAGGACCTGTCATTCGAACCCGTGTTAAAAGATTGGTCCTTCAACAAAGGCCTTATTTACCCAAGCAAGCTCTACGTCAGCAGACCTTCCCAGCATTGATCACAGGTTAGAATTAGATTATGATTAATGGAAGCCCTATACTTATATGTCCGCAAATTCATCATATTCGCTAGATTACTATTACAAAAGTACGATTAGAACTATGGTAAAACAGAGAGAAAAACACGGACACATTACGCACCTTGCAAAAAGGCCATCAGCTAAAAGATGCCAAGCCAACGAAAGGTGGTTACGTATACAGATACGTTTAGTTCATCTCTTTATCGCTAAAGTCTAGATATTCCTGCGCAACAGCAAAAAGAATTGAAATGATGCACTTCCTTTCATTTCCCGCTTTTTCCTTTTCCTCTCTACGTTTGTTTAAGATACGTTTAGTTCATCTCTTTATCGCTAAAGTCTAGATATTCCTGCGCAACAGCAAAAAGAATTGAAATGATGCACTTCCTTTCATTTCCCGCTTTTTCCTTTTCCTCTCTACGTTTGTTTACCTAATTGCTTTTCTTGCTGGAATTTTACGGTATGTTTCTTGCACAAATTGTTAAACACAAACACAGATCTTCGCGTAAAACGACGCGTTTTTCTGCTGTTACAAAAAGCAAAGCAGTACGAGCAAAGAACAAGGGCCACATGGAGACAACAGATTCAATTCAGTCATGAATCATGGCCTACACAAAGTAAAATGTTGATATTCCCAAACGGTTTTAAGTGCTTCGAAAATTACTATCATTACACCCTGTTTTCCATCTAATGTTTGCCGAGCTGCCATTACATGGTAGAAAGACTGAAAGGTCTAGAATTATCCAAGTATTCCAACAATAACCGATTATTTTCCTTTATAGCCAGGTTTCTAGTTACCTTACTTTTTATAAAAATTAAGATTGATCTTAGTATGAATACTTGTATGTTTGAGGTTATTACAGATAGAAATGTGAACGGAGATGTCAGTGCATCCAGTAGCTTACCATATGCTGTATGCTCCGAGCAAACAACACGTTCGCCTGGTTTTAAGTTGTGGACAGGAAAATCAGTCAACAGATGAGGTCCATCATAGTACTCAAGAATTCTTTCAAGATAATAACATTTCCAAAGGAATTGTCCGAAGCAAATAATGATTGTTGAATGCATACAAGTATGCTTGATTCCGAGCTGCGAAAAGCAAGCGCTGAATACACCGAGTCACTTAGTCGTCTTTGTACGTCTGGGTGTGCAACCATTAGACAGCCGGGCACAAAAGCTCGTAATGAATACATAATTGTTGTAAGCGAGCCTATAATCAGTAATGTTTCTCTTAAATAAGAGACAGCAGTATAAATGGTATGTTCTCATTGGTAATAGAACTTGGTAATTGTGGCATAAAATGGAATAAAGAATATTAGCAGGGTGACTATTATTATTAACATTAATAATTACTACTGTTACTAATTCCTACACCCTTGGAGAAAACGTTTATCCAATTTAGCGTCGTAGAAATCAAGCAAGACTCACATGGGAGTTTTCCGAAACAACCTTTATAATTATGATGCTCATCACAATAAACCATCCCAAAGACCATTATTTGTAAAGAGGACTCTCTTAGACCTGCCTAACTACAACTGTGATGCAATTTCTTTCAGTTATGTACTGAAAGGGATGATACGTGGTGTAAAAGCGTTTAATTTTGAGATCTGAAGTGTACAGATGTTCATGAGTCCATTTATGTTCTTCCATAGACTGTAAAGAGACTGAAACGTGGAAAGTGTCCTTATTCATCCACATGTCAGTCTTTAGATTGATAAGAAGTTCTTTGGTTGGCCATTTCTTTCTCATTTATTACTTTTTCTTGAATACAAGTAAGATCATCTTCTGTACAGGGTATGATAAATCTTTTGTTCCATTTAGTCCCGGGCATTTAGTGGCAAGTCCTTAAGGGAGTCCAATTCCTACTGATTTTGAAATGCATAAATACATTTGTAAAACGATAAAACGTTCCAAGTGCTTTGAGCTAATGAAGCTCTTTATGCAAACTAGAGTCCACCAAAAGAGACCACTGCTCTTTCTCAGTCGATCATTGGACTAAATTAAAACTACTCACGTCAGTTTTCCTGTCTTGCAAATATCAAGTTAACAGAGCTCTTGCCATAAGCTTTCGCATTGCCGCCCGTAATATTACATAGCATCAAAATGACGATAGATTTAATTCTTCCACAAAGCATTAAAGAGGTGTTCTCCTGGATCATCGACTGCGCGCTGCTTTAAGAGCTGTGCTAATAGATACGAACGTAAGTCCTGTTTAACTCTGGCAAGTACACAAGACATATAACGAAAAAGAAAGACTCAAACGGGAAAGGCTGGCGAGATCAAATACACCAGACAAAGGCTTTAGATTTAATATAATACAACGAAAGTTCTGGCTTAAAAGGTGTGCTTCAACCGACAACCGTGTGAAACGTATTACATCCTGAAGAAATAAGATTATTTCTCAAACTCAACTTCACCTTACCATTTTCCGTAGACGTAAGAACACAAAATTTATAAATGTTTACTCATATAAAACAATAATAGTCTCCCACATTGTATAATAGAAAATTACAACATCAAAATTCCTTTGTGTTGCGCTGCACGGAAACGTATAAACTGTAATTACGAAACGGAAACATGGAAGCTTTCCTTATCTCATACAGGTTTTAAAATTGCTCATCTTTTCGTTGTTTGGCCAATTCAAGTGCATTAGTTGTTATAAGCAATTCAGACTCTTCGAGGTCTGCTCAGAACATTCTTTTCATCGAGCGCTCGATAATGGCGGCTTCCAAACGTGCGAATGAAATGAAAAAAGTCTCCATTACAATAGATTGCTGTTCTTTCTCAATTCTTGGATTTAACTTATATACGGTATGACGTCGAACAAGCCAGTTTCCTTTCTTTCTTTTTCGTGGCTTTCCTGACTCAAAAGTATGATAATCAACCATGAAAACTATTTAGTTCATTTATTTTTCTTTTAACAATTCCCCTCAGCACAAGTCTGGCCTTGCTTGATATCAGTTTGAGGCATTAGCCAGTTTCCTTATTGCTTGATTTGTTGTCATAACATTCCCTGCTATCGGTTGTTAGAATAAAAGACCTGCAATAGGCAAATATATTTAAATGAAACCGCCTCGAGCCGCCATCCTGTTCACGGCATAACGATAATATCCAGTTTTCTGTCCTCCGATCATCGAAAGGGAGCCTCTAAACGAAGAAAAAGAATAACAAATTCCAGATTCAGTACCTAACTGTGGCTTCGCGATGACACTGCCAATAAGACAACATGGACGGGGAGAAAAAGACAGCATGGCCAACAATCACCACTACCGCATAAGAAAGAAGGAAATGTGAGATAGGACATACCGAAAACTTTATGATAGCGCCAATTTTTTAAGGCCCACTGTATATATGTGTTTTGTGGCCAAACATACTCCACAGAACGTTCCCACCGAGGAAACATCAGCACTAGTTTGCCAAATCGACCGATTTGCGGCTAAAGCGGAGAGCCTCCCAAAACTCAATGTCACGAGCAGCATAGTTTGCTGAACATGAATTCAAGCCCCTGCAATAAAGTTTACAAGCGTGTTACACGTAATGTACATTTTCGCAGCACTGCATCACAGGATTAATCCTGAATGTAACGCCATATCAAGAAACAAAATGATACTGAATACAGGTGGAAAAACATCTTAGAGGAGCACAGCTACTTTCAAACCCTTCGCTTGTAAATCTGTACTACTTACAGTAAGTAATTATGACTGGCCTTCTTCAACTCCTTTGCCCGATGGAAGAAAGAACTGTCACTTGATGTGGATTTGTATTTCATCTTCTTGGTGCCAACCTAGCAGAAGGTTTTGAATGAAAATAATTGAATGGAAAACGCTTTAATNAAGAAACAAAATGATACTGAATACAGGTGGAAAAACATCTTAGAGGAGCACAGCTACTTTCAAACCCTTCGCTTGTAAATCTGTACTACTTACAGTAAGTAATTATGACTGGCCTTCTTCAACTCCTTTGCCCGATGGAAGAAAGAACTGTCACTTGATGTGGATTTGTATTTCATCTTCTTGGTGCCAACCTAGCAGAAGGTTTTGAATGAAAATAATTGAATGGAAAACGCTTTAATACACTAAATATAAAAATAAAACAATCGACAGTAACAGGTCGCGAGTTGGATGTTAGAGACCTTCTGTAAACATACAAACGTGTGCTGATTTTTGTGAGGAAAAGGTGTGAGGTGCTTTTGTTTCATATTCAAATGCATAAACTTCTGTCAACTGTGCACGTTTTGTTTTGCAATCTTGAACTTGTCCAGGGGAGTGTAATTGGCTTCAAGATTTGAAAAAAATACAGAAACCAACAAGAAACTTGCAAAGCTCTCCACGTTCATCAACCTCTTAGTCTTCAAAGAAAACGATTACTCTTATTACTACTTTCTATACCCTTGGAGAAAAGTGTTATAAAAATTGTTCTCGAAGAAATCAACCAAATCTTAGATGGGAATCTTTTTTAACAAAATGGCAGTTACAAATTAGGTACTCATCGTAACACAACATCCCGAAGCGTGTTTTCCTTCAAACACTTCTTTCACTCATGATAGTTCTTCACCAATAAAAGGGCCTATCTTAGACTTGTCCAACTAACAAGTTTAACGTTATTTCTTATGTTAAATTAACCGAAAGATATGATATGTTGTGCAAATATGTATGAGTTTGAGATGTGAAATGTAGAAACAGTTCTCAGACCTTTTATTTTCTTTGCATAGACTACTCGATTTGTGCCTGTATTGGTCAGTTGACGCCGATGCTATTGTTTAGGACAATTAAATATTAAAATAAATTCTGTTCTTTTTTCGCCTTTGCGCCCTGCATAACTGCCCAAGCAAACAATAAGTGATACTTGCAGTTAAATAACTTTGATTTTAAGACGAGCAAATACGAAACTTGCCATGTGGATGTTCTCATCTAATACATGTTCTTTACTTGCCAGTATTTTGGCATTCATTAATTTCTACTGCTTTCCCAAATGTATACATCAAGCGATGAAAAGTGATCTCCTATCGAACAGAAACGTCTCATAGACGCCAGTAATGACCGTTTGCAAACGTACGAATAAACTGATAAAAATTTCGAAGTAGTATCTTTTGAATAAGCCATGATCCTTGGCGGGAATCAATGGCTGCCTTCCAATTTTACAAATGAATCTACACAAAAGTGAATGGACAACGAATGCTCTGACCAGTTGGCTGAATAAATTTGTCCAACGCACACCATTTTCGTGAACTAAAATGCCTGATGTCAACAGAGATGCATTAAAAACTAAACTGATCTTCTCTCTATCAAACAGCTCACTAAAATCATTGTTGTTCTTTCAGCAACCACCAAGTATATCTAATACAAAGGCGGTTTTGGTTAAAAGATGAAATTCAAGTGTGTGGAAAGTATAACTTGCCCAAGGGATAACATCATTTTTTAGACTGAAATTTTTACCCTATCATTTTCCGTGGAGATTAGGATAGAAATGCATAATTATGGTTCCTAATGTCAAACAGCCTTGAACAGTGCAAACTGGAAATATCTCTCACAACAAAATTCTCTTGTGTTGCGGAGATGAGAAGTGCGAATTAAGAAACTGAAACACAGAAGCTTTGTCAACTCAGTCAGGTCTTTAACTTTGCTTGGCCATTCCGCCAAAACAAATCAGATTGTTTCAGTAAAAGCGATCTGCTGTCGAACAGAATTAGTTTTTGCATAAATTCATCGATGCCCAGAATGGCCACTAACAAACGTAGGAATAAAGTTCTTAACCTGTTCGAGTCCCCAACAAAATTAAAATTACGTCCAATACAATGTATATGTGTCGTGCAGGAAAGTTTTCTTTTTCTCATTTGGCTTTTCTGATGTAAATCTGACAAAATCAACCAAGAGTTTTATTTATTTATTTTCATTCATTTATTCATTTATTTATTTATTCTTTTATTTCCTTGAACATAGTTTAGTGCTCGTGAGGTGTTTTGTTTACATCAGTTGCCACAAA